GGAATGGGCACAAATATGGCTAGATAGCTGTTTTCTAAATTTCTTGGCATACATGAGTGAGTGCGCCTCCAGTGCTACATCAACTTGTTGTAACATTTTAACTAGTATTCCGTCAATTCCTGGAGTCTCGATCATATCCTACTTATTGAAATAGTTGAGCATCGACCAATTTGTTTTGGTACAGTGACTGTGTATTCCTCCTGCATCACTGAATATTTTGCCCATAAAATCCTTTAATATTGCAAATAGAGGCTTGAATTTTTCCTTCTTTCAGCTTGAGAAATGTTGTGCACATTCTTACTTTTTGGTTTCCTAACTCCAAGTCTTGGCACATTTCATTATAATACTTTGTCTTTTTGAGCTGCCCTTTATAAAAACTTTCCATTCAGCTCTTTTACTTCCTCATTTTCTTCCAGGTGCTTTAGCTTCTACGTTCAAGAGCAAGTTTCAGAGTGTCTTCTGACATCCATTTTGGTCTTCTTTCTTTCCTGTCTTTTAAATGACCTTCTGCTTTCTTTATGGATGTTATTCTGAATGTCATCCCATTAACTTCTGGTTTTCGGTCATTAGTGTCTAATACATCAAATCTGTTCTTGAGATGTCTCTAAATTCAAGTGGGATATAGTCAAGGTCATATTTTTGGCTACCATGGACTTAATTTTCTTCAACTTCAGCCTGAATTTGCATATGAGCAATTTGCAAAATTATAAAAAATGGTCTGTTCCACAGTTGACCTCTGACCTTGTTTTGGCTAATGATATTGAGCGTCTCCATGGTCTCACAGATGTAGTCAATTTGATTCCTTTGTCTTCCATCTGGTGAGGTCCAGGTATATAATTGCCTTTTATATTATTGAAAAAAAGGTATTTGGAATATATAAGGCCTTGGTCTTGGAAAACTTTATGTGATATACAGCATCACATTTCTTTGACCAAGGCTGTATCTTCTAACTACTGACCCTTCTACTTTGTTTCCAACTTTTGCATTCAAATCAACAGTAATTATCAATTCATCTTGATTGCATGTTTGATCAGTTTCAGAATGAAAGTTGGTAGAAATCTTTAATTTCATCATCACTGGCTTTAGTGGTTTGTGTGAGTGAATTATTAATTCACTGGCCTTCCTTGTTATCATTGTTGTTGTTAAGTACTGTCGAGTCAGTTCCGACCCATAACAACATTATATAGGGTTTTCGAGGAGCAGCTGGTGAGCCTGAACCAGTTCAAACTGACTTTGCAGTCTTCCTTATAAGGGTGTGGATATTATCCTATCATAGACAGCATTGTACTTCAAGATAGATCTTTTTGAATGAATGCAATACCATCCCTCTTCAATAGTTCTTATCAGCATAGAAAACCATATGAACGTGAGATTCCAAATGGCCAAAACCACTCCATTTCAGTTCAGTATTGTCTAGGATATCAATCTTTATGTGTTCCATTTCATTTTTGATGAATTCCAACTTTCCTAGACTTATACCTCATACATTCCACGTTCCGATTATTAATGGATGCTTGCAGCTGTTTTTCCCTACTTTGAGTTGTCATCCTAGCAAATGAAGATCTGAAAACTTTGCTCCATTCCTGTCCTTAAAGTCAACTCTACTTTGAGGAGGCAGCTCTTCCCCAGTTGTATCTGAAGTGTTTTCCAATCTGAGGGTTCCTCTTCCAGCACTGTATCTGATAATGTGTCACTACTATTCATTAGGTTGTTATTGGCTAAACATTCAGAAGTAGTCTGCTGAAACCTGTCCACCCTGGGTGATCCTGCTAGTATCTAAAATACTGGTGGCATAGCTTCCAACATTACAGCAGCATACAAGTCACCACAGTAATGACAAACTGACAGATGAGTGTTGGCTGAGTGCATATGCTATGATAAAAAAATCGAATGGTAAACTTCTAAGTATGTATCCAAGAGAAAGAATGGTATATTTGCACCCACAACTTGCATATCAAATTTCGTAGAAGCATTATTTGTAATACCTAAAAATGGCAATAACACAAGTATCTATCAACAGGTTACTAGATAAACAAAGTGTGATATATTCATACAATGGAATCATGCTCAGCAATAAAAAAGAATGAACTATTGACAAATTCAACAATGTGATTGACTCTCAAATTAATTATGTTGAATGAGAGTAGTAGACAAAGAGTGCCTACTGTACATTTAGAATTTTAGAAAATGCAAAGGAATCTGTAGTGACAGTGGTTACCTGGGGATGGGGGTAGAGCAGAGGAGGAACCTCAAAGGTTAAAGGAAACTTTGGGAGGACATGATGGATATATTCACTATTATTTTGATTGTATAGATGGTTTCAAGGGCATATACATGTCAAAATTGATCAACTTGTACACATTAAATATGTGCAGTTTATTGAATGTCATCTATATCTCAATAAAGCTGTTTAACTTGTGAGATCTATTTAAGTCTTTTGTAGCAGATTAATTCAATGTAATATATCATAAGCTTTCTTGGATGATGCTTCCATGGGCATTGATTGTGGATCCAAGTAAAATGAAATCTTTGATGTTACTTACTGATGCATTTGACTTACGATGTTGGTGAAGAATACTGATTACCAAGGGCTGCCAGAATAATGAACAAATTTGTCTTCGAAGCAAGGATGAAGACACTTTGTCTCACATATTTTGGACAAGATGTTGCTGTTAAGTGCAGTTGAGTAGGTTTCGACTCATAACAATCCTGTATAGGGTTTCTGAGGAGTGGCTGGTGGGTTTGAACTGCTGACCTTGCAGTTCAAACTGACCTCGTGGTCCAATATTTATTCTACAGTGCCACACCAGAATCCTCGGACAAGATAGCAGGAGGGAAAGGACCCTGGTGTTGTTGTAGGGTAAGCATTGGGCTGCTAACCAAAAGACTGGTGGTTTAAAAGGTAGGGAAAAAATGAGGTCGGTGATTCAAATTCACCAGCTGCTCCTCAGAAACCCTATACAGTGTCTTTATGGGTTGGAACTGACTTGACAACAGCTAACAACATCTGTTTCCCCTAAAAATTAACAGTCTTGAAAACCCTACATAGGGTTGCTATGAGTCAGAATTGACTCAATGCCTGTGAGTTTTTTGTTTTTTGAGTTATCAGGAGGCAAAAGTCTCTGGAGAAGGACACCATGCTGGGTAAAGCAGAGGTAAGCAAAAAGAGGAAGGCCCTCAATAAGATGGCTTGACATCTGCAACAGTGGGCTCAAACATAGGTTTGTGATAATGGTGTAGGGCTTGGCAGTGTTTCTTGACTTCACCCAACAACAACTCATCTTAAGTTTGAAAAGCAGACCATGACTGAAAACTCATTTAAGAATCTGAAGCATAAAACTAAAATTACTAGTTCTATTCTAGTATGATAGTTTATCTGAACAAAACATTACTATGAGAAATGCAAAGTCATAAAAATAGAAAATAGAAATGACATTTTTGTCCCCTGGTAATCATGCTATTTCCACATGCCTGTATAGTTGCTCTATATCATAATCTTTTTAGTGTTCTATTCAATTCAGCTTTTAAAAGAGAGCAGTAATAACCTTGTACTTTCCCCGAACAACTAGACTACTCTTATGTACAAGATGCCCAATCCTTGGTGCATGTGTGGGGAAAACCACATGACGTCTATAAATTTTAGCAAATGCTGTAATTTGCTTTGGGATTTACTAGTCAGGATAAGGCGGGGCATTGGAAACAAATGGGAACTTTCTAGAAATAATCATGGAGTCCTGGTGTGGCCCTGTAGCACTGGACTATTAACCGCGAAGTCAGCGGTTCAAACTCACTAGCCACTCCTCGGAAACTATACAGGATTTCATCAGCACTTAGTAGGAAACCATACCGTTTTCTACAAGATTATCACTGGATTAATTTTCCTAAATATTTAAATTCAGTGTTATATGTTTTCTATTTTAAATTTCCTGTTTTAAAACAAAGGACTGCTATATCACAAGGAGAGTTTACAACCGTTAGTAATTTTCAATTCCTTTACTAAACATTTTTTGCTTTTAGAAAATAGTCACGAAGTTTACCACCCGACATACCCCTCCCCAACTTATTTCCTCACTTCTTTTATTCGGTAATGACTCTCATTCTGCAGACCGGGAGACGCACACAGGGTTTTTTGGACAGTACACTGGCGCAAGAAGGAAGCAACTTTCAACTTTTCAGTTCCATTTTGAGAAACGACCACGTTAAACTACGGAGAAGCTACAGCCGAGCGAGAGCAGAAGCATTTCTCGCCAGGCTGGGTGTGGGTCGGAGCCAGGCGCGCTTCCGCGGGAGAAGGGGAGTCAGGTGGCAGCGCGGGAGCCGGAGCGAAGTGGAGGGGGCGCGCCTCCCTCCGGCCAGAGCTGGGAGAGCGGCCCGCGCACACGAGTCCGCCGGCCCGGGGCTCCCGCGCTGGGATCCGCGGGCGCGCCGGGGGCGCCCCTTCGGCTGCTTCTCCTCCCTCCCGCGCTCGCTCCCTCTCCACCCCCCACCCCCCTCCCGCCCCCAGCCCCTGGCAGGTCCCTCCCCCATGCCTGCTCCGGCTGCCGCCGCTGCTACCGGAGGCGCAGGAGCCTCGCGATAGTGTTTGCACAGGCGGCGCGTGACGCCGCCGCCGCCTGTAACTGATGCAGAGGTTATCCCACCGCCGCCGCCTCAGCCGCCACCCACCGTCCGCTGCCGCCGCCGCCCGGACGACGCCGGGGGCCGACGCACTGCAGAGGTGCCGGCAGGTTCCGCCCGCGGAAGTCTCTTCAGCCGGCGCTGCCCGCGCTCCGCCCGCGCTCCGATCCCGGCGGGCGCCCCCTCGACGCCCCTACCGCCGCGCTCCTTCCCTCCGCCTCTCCCCCGGCGCGCCCGCCCGCCGGCTCCTTCTCTTCTCCCCCTTTTCCTCCTCCCCGTCCCCTCTCCTCCCTTCACCTCTTCCCTCTCCACCTCCCCCTTCTTGGCTTCCTCCCCCATCCCCTTGACTCTCCCCTGCCTGCCCTCACGCTCTTCGTCGCCCTCAGCGCGGCTCCCGCCATGACGGAGGCGGGTGCCGGTGCCGTTGCCGCTGCTGCCGTCGCAGGGGCAGAGTCAGGTTCTCAGAAAGTAGCTTGATGAGTGTCCAAAGTAGCAGTGGAAGTTTGGAGGGGCCGCCATCTTGGTCCCAGCTCTCCACGTCTCCAACCCCGGGCTCGGCGGCGGCGGCCAGGTCCCTGCTGAATCACACGCCGCCATCCGGGAGGCCCAGGGAAGGTAAGCGCCGCTGCGCCCGCTCGCGGGCCCCCCTCCGTGCCGCGGCCCCCGCGCCCCGCGGGTCTCCTCCCCACGACCCTGGGGTGGGGGATGGTGGCGAGGTGGCCGCGAGGCCGCGGGGCTCGGGGGAGGTAGTGCGCTGCCTGTGGGTGGTGGTTCACGGGTGGCGGAGGAGACGGGCATGCGGGTGCGGGCTGGTGGGCACGGGCAAAGCGCACAGACGCGTGTGGGGTGCCTACAAGCCAGTTCTGCGAGGGTGGGTAGCCTCTCCTTGGACCCCAGTCCCTTTCTGCCTGATTTGCTAGGACACTCGGTACTCTTAACCTCCTGGCCTTCTGTCTCTGGTGGGTTTTCCTCTCGTTGGAGCATTCATCCTCCAGCCCCCTCCCTTTCCCCCTAGCACTCCTCCCACAGAGGCGGTCCCCGCTCCGCGAGCGTGGCTGCCGGGGACCTGGATGCACCTCGTTTGCGGGGTCTCTTCCTTTGGGGCGGGGGGAGGAGAGACGCCGGGATTATCTAAGCAGACTTTGATCCCCTGCCCGCGAGCAATTTAAACGACAGACCGACTCGTGGGCAGGCTTTTAAACCACCCCTCCAGATGGTTGCAACTTTCTCTCGTTCGCCATCACCTCCTGCGTGTTTGTGCGTTCTCTCTCTCAGCAAGTAGGCTACTGTTCTTCCCTGGCAGGGTCGTGGGTTTTATAGGAAATATCCGTGTAAAGGTTACAGCAAACACGCACCAGATCGGTTACAATTGTTTTCTAAGTTTTCTGGCTTCTTGCATGCCAGTGTGCTGCCACCAGATGTAGCAGTTACACTGCTAGTAAGACACTGGAGTGCTGTAGACTAAAATTTCAACTTGCTGTATTTAACTTCAAGTATACGACAGAAGATGAAATTTGGGAGAACACGCATTTATGGGGGAAGAGTAAATGTGTATGCAATCATGGTTAACGCTCTTTTGTCTGAAAATGTTGAACGGTATTCATCAGCAGTTGGTAAAAGGTTCTTCAGTTCCAGTTGTCTCACACAAGGAGGTTGTAGCCACATTAAAAAAAAAACACACGAAAACGTCTGGAAGTCAAACAGTCAAGTGAATTCTTTAAAGAAAACAGGAGCTTAGATTTATGTTGGAACTGATAGGTTTAATTTATTTTGAAAATATCTGTCAATATTTACTATTGTTAGCCTTGACAATTGTTAATCAAGTGTTTTGTGCCCTGAATCCAGTGGTTCAGGCATAGCATTCTTTGTCATTTTGTTCCTGTGAGCATGTGTGAAAGTGACAATAGGCTCAAAGATTGGCATGAATTTGCTCTAGAAAATTCATGGGAAGGTTTGATTTATGGCACCCATTAAACATGCTTAATATATTGACATATTTTCCTCTTTCATTTCTCCCCCAACACTGAGTGCTGATTATTAATTAAAGTTTAATTATTGGCTCACTTAACATTTTTCTTTGTGGACTTGAAAAATTTTAAACGAATATTTAAAAATGTATTTTGTTAATAGAACAATTGGCTCTTTTAGCATGCTTTTACTTTGTGGTTTAAGATTTTTGTTGGTAGTGTTGTGAGTTAAAGACCATTTTATTTGTTTTGTTGTTGTTGTTAAGGCATTTAATCGTTCAGTCATTACTAATATATTTATTGAGCCATCGCTATGTTCCAGTCCCATTGCCAGCTACTGAGGGTCTGTCATTGTTCATCTGTTGACAGCTTTGAACTGTGTTAGTAGTTTTGGGGTCACAAAAATCGAGATTGTGAGTTTTCTGAGGTTGCTTCAACTCTCGTTAAAAATGTCTCATCTGTACAATTTTGCACCTTTCCTGAATGCTTGAAAATACTGAAGGGTTAGAATTATTAAGCTTCAATTTTGTAATAACCAGCATTTCCCAGCAGTTTACACTACCATAAATTTTGGTAATTTAAAGTAGTAAGACTTAATTTATGCAATATAGGGTGTGATTTTGAGAAAGTTATATTTCACATTAAGTGCCAATGTGTGACTGCAGTAGGATATTTCTCTTTGACCAACTAGCATGTAAACTGTGTTAACCAGTTGCTATGAGAACAACTCATGGCAACTCCATGCATGCCAGTAGTAGAACTGTGCTCCATAGAGTTTACAATGGCTTATGATTGCCAGACCTTTCTTCCGAGGCCCCCTTGAGTGGACTAAAACCTCTCTAAAACTAATTTCCAATCAATCTCAACTCATGGTGACCCTTTGTGTGTACCAGAGTAGAACTGTACACCATAGGACTTTCAGTGACTACGTTTTTTTTTTTTTCTTTAAGTTACATGTTTGCGTTATCTGGGCTTCCCATCCCTTTCTAGGGATATATTTAACTTGAAGCATGAAGCGATATTCTCACATATTACTAATCTTAATAAAAATTGCTCTATTAAGGTGGAGACAATTTCCATAGAGTCTCAGTTTATGTTTTAACATGCCTCTTTCAGATGTACATGTCAGTATGTGAAGGGACTTCAAATGGAATTAAAACATAATGGAAAATTTCCATGAACTTTTGAAGACCCTTAGTATTGCATAAACTGATGTGATTTGGGAGCTTTTGATTTCTGTTATGGATGCTAATAAGAACCGTTAATATTAATGGAGCTTTAATGTAAGAGTCAGGGTTCAGCGCTGTAGGATAAGCACTGGACTGCTAACCATAATGTTGGTAGTTCAAACCTACCAGCTGCTCCTTAGGAACCCTATACATAATTGCTCTGAGCTGGAACTGATTAGACAGCACTTAATAACAATATGTGGTAGTCCTGGTGTGGTGCTGCAGGATAATGTGCTGGACTACAAGGCCAGTGGTTCAAAGCTACTAGCTCCTTCTCAGAAATCCTATACAAGGATCACCATGGGTTGGAACCTACTTGATGGTACTTAACAACAGTAACAATATTTAGGTATCAAGGAGGGAACACACTTTGTTTCTTGAAATATTGAGTCTAATTTAACTTAAAATGTCATAATAGAAAAATAAAAATTTCAAAGAAATATACACATGCAGATATATACATATGTAAATTTTAGATGTGATGTAGTTTTTAAAGCACATATATGGGTTATTTTTTAAGATGTGCTGCAGCAATCTGTATGGGTTACTAATTTATTTTGAAGTTTGAAAATATTTGAAATAAAATCTAAGATTATGTATGATCTGATGATTTTTAATGCTCTGTATTTTGGCTTTCTTCCACCCCTTCTTACCCTACATACGTTATTGTATTCATAGAATTTTATTACAAATAAAGTAAAGCTTCAAATACTGTAAAGTTTAGGAATTTAGTAGTATTTCGGAATTTATATAGTAATAGAGTTTGAAGTTCTTTGAGTGATGCTCAACAGTATAGCTCTAAATGAGTTCTGTTGGATCTTTTAAATTTGTGGTCTCCATCCTGTTTTGTCTGCTAATAATCTTAAAGTTAAAGGGGTAAGGAGTAGTGTAAGTTTGTCCCAGATTTCTAAATCATCAGGAGGCCATTAGCAAAATGGAACCAATCACTAGCTATAATTTCTTCATGGATATTATAATCCCTTTGATCAGCGCCTGCATAGGTTAACAAAGTGAAAGTTGCTTTGACTACTTACAAAGAGCAGCAGAGCACATACAACAGAGAAGTGGTACCCTTGGCCTAAAAGCTGTTTGGGCGGAGAAGGAAAACAACTACACATGCTGTGCTGTGCACCATAGATGAGGGACTCAGGGGGACATTTACATGATACACCCATCCTCCTGGCTTTTGGAAGCTGTCCCGGTGGAGATAGAGAACTCTTGCACGCATGCCTCCACACATGGCCTACCTTATATCAGTGCCACCACCCTCTCCCTGCCAGGTGGTTAGTAATTAGGTGGATTGAAGTGAGCAAAGTTTAAAGGTCTGGAATTTTTTCAGAAATTGTACATATTACTAAAAAACCCAAACCAAATCCATTGAGTTGATTCTGACACAGCAACCATATAAGACAGAGTAGAGCTGCCCCATAGGGTTACTAAGGCTGTAATTTTTATGGAAGCAAACTGCCACATCTTTCTCCCTGGAATGACTGGTGGGTTCCAACTGCCAACCTTGTTGTTAGCAGCTGAATGCTTAACCACTGTGCCACAAGTGACAGGATTTTTTCTTTTAAACCTTATCAATGAAACTTTCTTACTGTCTGTAACGTTAGAAAACTCTGGAGGAGTAAGAAGGCTGAATCTGATGAAACAAGATTGCTGATACAGTCCTAGAAAAAAGCATTATCCTTTACTGGAAAATATCACAGGATTGACTCTACATCTAACATTAAAAAAAAAAAACAAAACAAAAAACCCCAAACCCACTGGTCTATTTTGCACTTTGATTAGATGCATTGCTCATTTGGTGACTACTGGTTTACTCAGTTATTCAGTTCTTTGAAAAGTTGACACGATTTACTGTATTTTAAATTGCATTTTAAAATATCACTTGAAAATTTATCAAACTCAGAGTGACAAATACAAATTTTTAAAAATTCCACCTTTTGTTTGAAAGCCCAGTTTACCATTGGCAATCAGAACTTCTGTTAAGTTCCTTAAAATAACAGGTTAACTTCATTCATTTTTGAGAAATGTCTGCTGCATACCCAAGCCTGAATACCCAAATGTTTTTTTGTTATTTCACATAAAAATGGTATTCCAATGAAAAAAGTGGCCGATTCAGTTAATTTGCAGTTTAGTCATGCTGTTGTCAGGTACCATTGTATAATGTAGTAGCTCCAGGGCTCCTCTAATATTACAAGGGAAGGATAATCACTATTGGGATCAGACCAAAGCTGATTGATTCCCATGAGGTAGAGGTCAGACATACGGTTGTTCTCCAATCTTCTAACCATTTTTCACATCAGTCATCCTACCCACAACACTCTACGTCTCTGCTGGGTTTGATAATTTATTGCATTGGGCACACAGAATTCATAGATCATACTCGGAAGAAGCTCTGGTAGCATAGTGGTTA